GTTGTAGGTAGAGGCTTAAATCCCTGTGCTACAATGCAGGCCTCTGGAGTATCTTCATATTTAAACTTCAAAAAGAAATGAAACTTTGAATTTCGTTCATAGTTGTCACTTTCCTTGAAAAAGATTATTTTTATTTCCAACCAAGATATTCGCCTTTGTTCAAAATGGCCAATCCATTGGAATCTGTGAAGTTTAACAAGGAAAGTGGACTCCATGAATTATATACAAGTCTGGCTTGAGTTTGGGCATCTTTACTCCTTTAGACTGAGAGCACTATTCATGTTTTGTCCTTCTAGTTTCAGACTTAGTGTGTGCAGGTGTCTTCTCACATCGTCGAGAAAGTAAAACCTATATGATTCATCTGAAATCTCGCAGATTGAGTTTCTTAGACTTTTTCTGAGAGAAATCTGTCTCCAAAGCCTTTCCCCTTTCTCACAAAAGACCACACATTAATAATATTACTACATTAAAATAAAACAAACATCATTATCATCTATAAGTTTACACATAGTCTGCACTCAGCAAACCTTGAAACCACAACATGTGCAAATGTCTCTTGACCCACCTCCCCCGCAAGAGCTGGCGTGGCTTTGCTAAGTCGCTCTTCCGATAGTTGCAGTAAAAAATGGGCACGCCAATCCTTTTTAGTCTTGAAGAAACATAGAAATATATTTTAAAATGTTAATTGCATGTGATTCATAGGAGCAAATGCACTCTGCTTTCCTGAACGTAATTGAGTTCTCCAGCAGTTTTCCAAGTAGTTCATCCTGCTATAAATGGGTCTGATAACTTTATAGAACTCACGGTGTAGTAGTGGAAAATAACAAAGCATATGAGCTCTGTGGCATGTATATGATACTTTACAAATGTTGTTTTTAACAAAACTAAGTTAAGGGTGAAAATAGTTTTTTTTTTTCAGGAAAAAAAGAAAAGCCAGTTCACTACAGGAGGTATATTGAAAAGTTTTAAACTGAAATTAATGATTAGAGGATTTAATTATTTCATGTTTTTATGGTTGAGTGGTATTCCATTGTGTATATGCACAACATTTTCTTTACCCAGTCATCAACTGGATATGAACATCTGGGTTGATTTCAAATCTTTGCTATCATGAATTGATCTACAATAAACACAAGTGTACAAATAACACTTTAATATGCTGCTTTCGTTTCCCTTGGGCTAATTCCTAGGCGTGGGGTGGTTGGGTCATATGGTAGATTTATTTTTAGATCTCCGAGAAATCTCCATTCTGTCTTTCATAATGAATGTACTAAGTTGATATTCCCACCAATGTAGGGTACCTTAAGCCTGAGGCTGTTTGCAGCTATTGCCTGCTGATAGTGATGAGTATATCTTGACCACAGTTTAACTTTACACTAAACAGCTTGGAAGTGAAAGTGGCTTAGAGATGGTAGACCGTTAGTCAATGCATAGAGATTCAGTTTTCTACATTTTTCATGTCTAGTCTGTGGCAATCACCTAGTACTTATTACTCCTTTATAAAATTTTCTATCTTTAAAAACTGTGTGCATTACATTTTATTTTAAATGTTCTCAAAAGGAAAGTTACTTTGCATGAGAGATTTTAACCTTCTTTGCTACTGATCTATCTTCCTCCAACTGTGTAACTAGTTGAAGTTCTTAAGGCTCTCAAGAAATGACTACTCACAATGTTGTGATTACTTTTGTAAAAGGAGAATAAAGCAATAAGAGAATTTGTATTACCTATGGAAAATATCCTTGAAAATGTTTTCTTAAAGTGTGGAAGGAGAAGAAAAGAGTGCTTAAATGTTCAAGAAAGAGGTTTTGTGTGAGACAGGGAACTTTATAGCCCACTACAAAGAGTGTCCATGGTTCTCTTCTCATTAGCCTTTTTTTTATTATATTTATTTTTTTTATTGTTAATAACATTGTATTATGTGATACAGTTTTATAGGTGCTTGGATTTCCCCCGCTCTTCCCACAACCCTCTCCCCATGGTGCATAACCACCGTTCAAGTTCAGTTGAGATTCCTTCATTGCAAGCACACACCCAGCATTGAGTCCAGCATCTTATTGTCCTGATAACATTTAACGGCTTCTTGGAGAGGCCTTCCCTGGTCTGAAGGCAAAGCTAACAGAGTAAAATCCCTGTCAGTTAAAAGCCCCAACAAAACATCAGCAACAATATATAGTGTTATGGAATTGATTGACATAGTGTTGAGTAAACAATATGTTAAAAAATAATGCAAGTTCAATTTTTCGAAACACATGTGTTAAGACAGTATCAATGACAGGATCAAAAAAATTTTAAAAATACAGGTTAAATTAAGGCAAACATAGTATCTGACCTTTTATAATAAAGAACAGGCTTCATGGGAGTATATAAAATGGGGGCGGGCCTGGCACAATGTGGCTCAGTTGGCTAATCTTCCCCTTGCAGGTGCCAGTATGGCATATGAGTGATGATTCATGTTCCTCTGCTCCACTTTCCATCTAGATCCCTACTTATACCCTGAGAAAGCAGTGGAGGATGGTACAAAACTCATGTGGGAGATTTGGAGAAAGCTTCTGGCTCCAGCCTTCAGATCAGCTCAGCTCTGGGTGTCGCAGCGATTTGGGGAGTGAACCAGCGGAGGACAATCTTTCTGTTCTCTCCGCTCTGCAAATATGCCTTTCCAATAAAAAAACAGGCAAAAGGCTTGAGGATTTAGTTAGGACAAGGGAAGATGAATCATTAAGCAGGGAAAGAGAAAAAGGAAGAGATGCAGAGAGGCTTCAGAGAACAGCGTGGAGCAGTAAGGACCCCTCGAGAGGTACTTGAGAGCAGGGAAGATTGAGAAAGAGAGAGACATTTAAGGTGTTCTTTCTTTCTTTCTTTCTTTCTTTTTTTCTTTCTTTCTCTCTCTCTTTTTGTTTCTTTGTTTCTTTTCTTTCTTTTACAAATATGCCCCATTTTCTTTAATTATGTGAGAAAAATGAATGCTGGCCTGAATTATTTTGCGTTTCAAAGTCCAGTTTGAAAAACAGAAAAAGCAAAAGTTCTATATTTCAGCAGAGAAAATGTCACACCCCAGGAAATTGTTACACGGTGATGGAAAAGTGGAGAAGTCTAACAGAGGAACAAAGGCAACATAAATATGAACAACTACAGGAAGTGGTTGCTACCCCCAGCCTTCGAGACACCAGGAGAGGATAGTGTAACAGCAGCTCAGAAGGCAGGGTTATCTAGCAGGGTGGAGAACTACAATGGTGTTAGCCCCAGGTTGCCAGGAATCCATTTTGAAAGTTAGTGTCAGGTGTAAAAACTATGTGAAGATGACCCACATGGTTTTTACACCTGCTACTCACATGGAAGATTTGATGGAGTTCTTGGCTCCAATTTTGACCAGGCCCAGTCCACCCGTTACAGCCATTTGTGGAATGAAGGTTTCTCTTTCTCCTAAGTCTGCCTTTCAAATAAATAAATAATTATTAAAAAAAAAAAAAAAGAAAGTTAGTGTCCCTATAGAAATGTAACCACTTGATGGATTGAAGACAAAAGCTAGGGGAAGAAGCACTCTGACTTCTGCTGTGCTCCCTATCCTCCTGTTAACCTAAATACGCAGGAAGCCAGCTAACCAAGTATCACTGCAATATAATTTTCTCTGAAACACAAAGAATGAGGAAAGGGTGGGAACAGATCCGACAGCCAAAAGGCAAGTTACTGAAACTTGTTTTGATTGTCCCACTGTGTGTGTTTGAACTATGTGGAATTGAATCATGAGACCAACTTCCCTTTATGTGGGATACATATGATCCAAGAGCCATGCAGGTCAGAGTGGAGCAAATTTCTGTGATTATTAAGTGAAAAACAATACATCTCTACTATTTGTTGTAATTGTAGAGTGTGCTCTGAGTAGTTCACAGAGAGCAACCAAAAGAGCTTATACTTTTTCTTCTTTCTCTTTCACTCCTCCCATTTCTTTCTGTTTTCTCACCTCCCTGTTAGCTGTGGCTGTTAAAAGACCACCAATTGTTCAAATTTTCAACTTGATCTGAATGTAGTCCCTATTCTACTCTCCTTCTCATCATATCTGAAGACTGAGTAGCAGCCAGAAGAAAATGCTACATCTATTTTTCCATCTGCAACATCAGACATACCTTCATTTTGATTATGTTTAATCATTTAAATGGAAGATGTTATAGCTCCCTAGGAACATGTTGTCATCTGTAATTATTGATATACTTGCTACATTTTCATTACCTGTAGTTGATATGATTTTGGGTGAGCTTTTGTGCTGGTATCATAGTTAAAAGTGTAGACTTTGAAGTTAATTGCTTGGGATTTCAGTCCTAATTCCACTGTTTACTAGTTGTGTGACTGGGGCCAATCAACTTAAATTCTGTGGGCCTCAGTGTTCTTATGTGTAATGTAACTATAATAATTGAACCTTCTTTGTATGGGTTAAGCTAAGCGAATCACATGAAGTGATGTGTGGATGTATGAGCATGTGATGTCTGCATGTGGATACACACGTATACTTATATATGTATTGTATTTCAACTCATATACTCCTATGTGTATATATGTTCTCTCTCACACACAGCATATGCAGTTGACACCTAATAAGCATCCTGTAAATACTTGCAATCACTTGTTGCTTTTCTCAACAAGGCTGTAAGTACTGTGTCAGCCTGTCAAAAGTTATTCTTCTTAAAATGTTTTATTCAGCACCAAGACTAGTTTGAGGAAGACAAAAATTGCTAGCAGATGTCTGCTCATGAAAGGTTAGCTCAGTAAGAAAAAAGCCTCCTATGAATTGCTGTATTGTGTGTCTCTCAGTTGTAGAAACTGATTTTATTTTCTGCTTTGTTTAGTTGTGAATCTATCATTGTAGATTTTTTTTTTGGTTACTTGTAGTTTCTGTGGTGTAGAGATTTAAATTTACTATGGAAATAAGCTTTGCAGTTGACCAATGGTTAGCCAATTTCTGATCATAGAAAAGGAAATAGATTGCCCCAGGGCTTTTGTTTTCATTTCCTCATGGGAAGGAGAAGCATAATATAGAAGAAGTGAGGACACAGCACAGTGAACCTCTGCCAATATGGGGAACTGGATTGAGAATGAGGGGCTCTCCATCTTTGTCGTTGTAAGTACCAACCAGCGATAAGTTATAAATTCTCTCACAAATTTGGATTCTCTTGGGAGCTAAAATTGAACAAAGCTTTTTTATTTGTTTGAAAAATCATATTGAAACTGATTTATTTTGCAAACCAACATCTATCTGAAAGCTGAGATCATTGCTCCAAATTCCTTAAACCATTCATTGAGGAATGAATGTATCAGGGGGCTCATTCCTGCTAGTTTGTTTCTGAGTTCCTCCAGGGACATGACTAACCAGTACTTCAGAAAGGGAATAATAAAAAATATTTCATGTTAATGTTCCCTGGTTCTGAGGTGTTGACTACTGTTCACCTGGAGACAAATTTCTCTATGTTTTAATGTGTTTTTGCTACTTAAAATAGCCAATTGGCATTTTAGTCCATTTGCTAAATAACAAAATAAGAGTGACACATGTGTGGAAATAAGCCCTTATTTCAGTAATCATACCCAACGGAAGCAAAATTCTCAAGTTTAAAAAAATAATATATATATATATATATTCTTTTCTCTGAGGTATGAACTTGGTGTATTTATGAAATTTTTAAACACTGAAGAGAAGGGACTTGAAATAAGTTACCTATACTTCTACATAAAAACAAATTATGTTGAGATATATTGTTACAGAGAAACAATATTTCTAATCAAGTATGGAGTAACAATATTTCTAATGAAATAGAAATTAATTTCTGTATTTGCTGACATAAAGAAGTTCAACTGTTCTCATTAAGATGGTGGATTTCAGCAAAGCAACCATAAACAATTTGAGTGTTTAGAAATGTGATTTCTAAATAGCCTTTCCAAATAGTCAAGGCAAGTATTATACAGATGCTTAAAAAAATAAAAAAACCTTATGAATAGAGCTTTTGTGAGAATTCACCACGTCTTGAGTTTGGATTTTAGAGAGAAAAATTAGGGGCACAAATAAAGTTAAAATAAAATGTTTTATTATTAGAGAATATCTTTTATCTCAAAGCCATGTTCTAATGCAATATAGAATTTTTCTGCATACTAGAAGATGGAAACATGATCTCTTATCGCCATTTTAACAGATGTTTCTCCAGAAGACAAGTTGAAATAATACTTTCAGCTCTTATTCCAATTTTTCCCTAAGAAAGTATCTTCTTTTAAATTATGCACTCATATATTTGAAATTAAAAACTTAGAGAGCTAGAGTAAGAAAGAGTGACAAGATCAGGAAACTGGGAACTTGTTCTTCCACCTTGCTCTTGGTACGGGGAGATTGTACTCCAGTGTTTATGGATATTCAATAGCTTCAAAGCAGTTAAAAGAAGATCATTATAGTGGTGAAGGTAGAGGACCGGGCAATGCCGCTGATTGACAAAATCAGTGCTTGGGATGTAATGAATTATCACAATCTAGAAAACACATATTTATCCTGCTAAATATCTCTTCCTTCAGAAGTCACCAAGTAGAGTAGATTTGTCACTTTGCTTGATAAGACTCCCACTTCCTGGAATGCTGTGGTAGAGGGAGACGGCTGGCACTTGTGAAGGAACATGGTGTCCTACTGGAGGAGCGACAGCAATAGTGACATGTTCCCTTCCCTTCTCATTTTAAGAAAAGTTACCTGCTTTGATCGCTCTATTTAATTAAGAACAAAAGAGGTAAAAGAGAAGGTAGACTAATCATACCTTAGAATACTGGCCAAGAGGTAAAACAATAAGAGATAATAATGTAGAATAGAAAAACTACAGTTATAAGAAAGAGCTAAGTCTAATCTGGTTACACCCAGTTTGGTAACCACCTTTGTCAAAGACTGAACTTGGGAAAGTCCTGACTCTTTTGTATGACTCCAATTTTGTGTGAAATCTTCTTATTGAAATATGAAAACTTCATGTAGTTATTTCTGTTTGTGCAGCTGGTATGGCTGGGGCTGAATGTCTTCCTCTTCGTGTGGTACTACTGGTTTTATGCCTTTGGAAAGAAGTTCTATTACACTACAAAACTTCTCGGAGTAAGTATAAGTTCCATGTTCTGAAATATTGCCTGGTTCACATATCTAATCAGACATTCTTGTTCCTATTCCCTTCAACATTTTTAATATTGTGACCAATCCAGATGGTGCTATCAGTCTCATTTCCGCCAATGCAAAATAAGAAGTGAGAGTCTCTTAATTACTGTTCAATACAGGACAAACAAAAGGGTGGCAGAGGGTCCCAACAGGATCCCGCCCCCCTTCTCAAGAACCAATTGCCATCATTTGGTTTAAAGAAGAAATCACATCCTAACTCTGAAATGGAAGACCAGGTTGGAGCAATCCATCTTGGGTGACACATGGGGGACAAGTGAGGTATTATAACAGTTGAGTTGGCCGGGAAAGTAAAGTTCCTTGAATTTCCTTGGGTCCTTCAGTAATCTCAATTTCCTTGAGTGTCAGTCTTCTTCATGACAAATGAAAATAATTACAATTGCACCTTCTTCAGAACATAAGATTTATTATGTCACGCTAAAACTATGAACTGATTTCTTTGTCGATTATAGTATGTATGCTAATTCTCACATTTAGTAATTCTAACATATCACATTATTATAATGTCAACTTGCACTGATTTTTTCTTCCTTCAAAATATGCAATGTCTTCAGATGTTATAAAGCTAACATCAGGTACTACCTCATACCACTTGAAGTTCCAAGATTCGTCTATGTGCTAAGACTATCTTGCTTAAAATATTTAAGAGATTTAATTTTGATATCAGCTTGCCATTAATGATATGAATAAGTATTTAGAACAACAAACTGATACCTGTCGAAATGCTTGAAAAAATGAGTTAATGGATGGACAGAGAAATGGAAAGATTGATATCTGATACAGTGTATGCAGTAAAATGTAAAACGTATATGTGCTGCCGAAGCGAGCACTAGTAACATGTTAAGGCTACAATCTCAGACATGGACAAACAAACCTTCACTGCAAATGCCCTTCAACATCCCTTTATGTTTGAAAACTATCATTACAAAATATTGGGTTTAGGCAAAGGATCATTTGCTGTGGATGTGTGGCCTCCTACATGGAACTCTGGGAGTGGGGACAGGTGTGTGCTGTGCTCACAGGAGTCACTTTGCTCTCTCTTGCCTTCTTCAGGCAGCACTGCCCTTGGCCAGGGCCCCTGCAGCCTGCCTGAATTTTAACTGCATGCTGATCCTGCTGCCGGTCTGTCGAAATCTGCTGTCTTTCCTCAGGGGTTCCAGTGCGGTAAGAGCAAACATTTTACTAAGTTTCTCAAATACTCATAGGCCATCAAGTAAAATGTCCTTTCTCAGGAAAAGCAAACACCGATGATTTGGGTGAATTCCAGCTGCTGCATAATACTCATGAGTGAAATGAGGCCCTATTCTTCAGTTTATGGGGTTTTTTTTTTTTTTTTTTTGGTTGTTGTTGTCTTCACTAAAACTCTGTAATGAAACTCCCCAGGACAAGCATTTAACTTGGAAAATAAATTTAAAAATCAAACAACCTCTACCTTGATAATAGTGGTGAATGAAGCATATATGTATAAAAACAGCTTTATGAAGCTAGCATAGACATTTGAAAATTAATCCTTCAGTGTCATTAAAGTCATTTAAATCAGGCAAAATATATGATATTCCAAGTACATGGAGTTGGTGGGCAAAGAATCACATGCGTTGGACAATGATTAAGATGTGTTGGTTCCGTGGAACTGAGGAGTGAAGAGGTTTCTAAATACTTAGGTCTTGTTATACCTTCACTTAAACAACTTAGTGAACCCCCAATGCTGGACAGGGAAAAAGCCCCATTGAAGCAAGAAGGACCTTTGCCCTTCTTGTTGTGCAACTATCTCAGTTTTTATTAAACAATTTAAGATGAGGATCAGGAACTTAGAGTCTACACACATACTTAAGTCATTATGACACTATTCAAAATGTGAAGGGTCCCACCAAATAGGATTGGTTCCACTACAAATAAAAACCTACAAAGAATGAAAGGAAGGGGAAATTTTATCAAGGCAGGAAATGAAGAAAGCCTTCTTAGGACAAGTGGCATCAGAGATGGGCATAGAGCATAAATAACCACCTAGCAGGTGTAAATGTGAAAGAAAGGCATTGTACTAGGAAAAAATGGCATGTGCAGAAGCACAGGAAATGTTAAGGGAAACTTATTCTTTTAAATGATTTATTGTTTATTTGAAAGGCAGTTATATACACAGAAGCAAAGAAAAGAGGGAGAGAGATCTTCCATTTGCTGGTTCACTCCCCAAAATGTCCACAACAGCGGGGGGGGGGGGGGCAGTGTGGGGATGGGCAGGCAGAAATCAAGCATCTAGAACTAACTCCGTCTGTGTCTCCCATGTAAGTGCTTGGGACCCAACCACATTTTTACTGATTTCCCAGGAGCTTCAGCAGGGAGCTGGATCAGAAATGAAGCAGTTGGGACTTGACCCAGTGCTTATACGGGATGCCAGCATTGCAGGCAACAGTTTAATCCTCTATACCACAAAGGCAGCCCTAGGAAATCTTATTCTTGTAAACCTAGTGTTAGCATGACTTGCCACTCCTTTTTTTGGATTTAAAAAATATTAATTAGTTAATTTGGGGGGTGCCATCTCAGACTATACTGAATGGAACAACTCGGGGGAAAACACGTATTTATGCCCATTTTACTGACTCATGGTTACTAGTAGCCCTTGTTTCTCCTTTAGATAAAATATATGTATTTTTTAACGTTTGATAAAATATATGTGGTTTTAGTTTTTAAAATAGATTTTATGTAGAAGTTATTTATGGAAGACAGCAGCAGACAACCTATTTCATGACAATGTAAATATTGTGTAGGGCAGATGTGTAAGATGAGGCTGGAAATGAGAATTGAGATTATGCTGATAAACTAGAATCTAAAAAGGCATCACTGATGACTCAATAATGAGTTAGGTGCTCATAGAATATCTAGTGGAGGAAGTGAGCTAAACTGTCAATAACAAGTATAAGCTGCCTTGAACTCTCTGGCTAGCTTTCCTAGCCATAGTCAATTCACATTGATCCACAGCTGTTATTCTCTTATTGAACATACACTAAAAAGCATAAATTGGCCAAAATAAGCAATTTTCATTGGTGACTTTTTTTTTTTTTTACAAAATGTCATTTCATCTTTAACTGCAAAAATCGAACTCTGACAAGCTTAACTTTAAAGTAAAAGCTGACAGAAATGGTGCTAGCATTCTTACTTCATCAGAAGGATAAAAGGATGGGAATAAGCATTTAGCATGGTGCCAACCTGAAATGCACACATCCCATACAAGAATGCCTAGGTTCAAGTCCCAGTTTTCTTTGTGACTCACTTCCCTGCTGCTGCATGTTCTGGAAGGCAACAGGTGATGGCTCAAATATTTAGGTTCCTACCATCCATGTGGAAGACCCGGGTTGAGCTCTGGGTTCCTAGCTTTGACCTGGCCCAACTTTTCCTGTTACAGGAATTTGGGGAGTGAATCAGCAGATTGAAGACCTCTCTCTGCCTACAAAATTTAAAAATATTGGAGAAAAAAAAAGAAGAATGCTGACAAACATTTAAAGATATTCCAAAAAGAGTCAGAAGTTAGTACTAGACATCAATTACAAGAATTTTCAAATTATCTCCTCAGTGTGAGAAATGACAGAGATAAAATTTCACCAGATTTAATTTTTTATTTAGCTACCTACTGTAAAAGACAATGTGTATCATTTACAATGTATCATAGTTGCCCAGTGAACATTTTTAAAATGAAGGCAACGCACTGTAGCTTTTTGTTTTTTCAGGAGATCCATTACTAGTTTATTCTCCTTACCCTTCCCTGTTTGAATGCTTTCTATTTAGAGGAAGTAAGGCCTGAGAAATCAGCAGTGTTTTCACCAGAGTGGCTTATTAAGAAATCCTTGTTACCCCACAAACCTAAATTGCAGTGCTGTTGAGCTAATAGGACCCATGAACAGCACATGTTGTAATGCCAGCCTTCAGGCTTCTGTGGCCCAGGCACAGAGATCCACATGAACTTTTCAAATGATATAGACGAAAGGAGGTGGCTCTTCAAGTTGCAGAGAAACTCAACTCTGTCATCGGATCGATCTTTGTATAAAAGAGTAAAAAAAAAAAAAAGCTAGCAGTAAGGATTTCTCTTTGACAGACAGACACATCCATTCTTCTGGAATTTGCTGTCTGAAATGTAAATTCTGCAAACTAAACTTATTTTTAACACCCAGAATTAAAATGAGCCAGTGTAGTGTGACTAAGGTTGGAAATCACAGTAGCTGCTACTTGTGGAAGCTTCTTAGAATTTATGTCATGAAGTCTGCACATCAAGCAAGTGATGTGGCAACAAAACTAAAAAGCAGTGGTAGGGTTCAAACCCTGGTCTTTATGCTCCCAATACCCATTCACCTTTCTGTGTACCATTTAAACTTTGTAAAATTCTCCTAAGCTGGCATTATGAGCTTTGAAATCCATCTGTTGGAATATGTCAAATGAGCTAGAGTAAAAATGCTATAAGTTCAAGAACTTATTAGTAGGACACTGTGAGAAGCAAGCAGCCACAGAACTTCTTTTCAGTTTCTAGGGGTGTTAATCATTGCTCTGTAAGTTCTCTGGTTAACTGGCATAAGGAAGTCCCAGGGTCACATCCCTCACCAACCCTACACTCCAAGAAACAGGGCTGTCAACTGGCTTTGTTGAGAGAGATGGAAAAAGGGTGGGTCTCAACATATACTAGGTCCTGAACAAACAAGCCTTAATAACCCCAACTTGTACAGAAACTTAATTTCTAACTGGATGGCAGTCCTTATTTTAATATCAGAAAGAAACAGGAAGGTGAGAGGGTGAGGTCTTATCTGTTACCTTATTTAGTCTGGGAGTCAGAGGCCCTGAATATGGCTCTATCTTTAACCATGTGGTCTAGTGCAAGCCTCTTGGGCTTTCTGTCTGGTTGGTAATTTTGTCTTTGGCCAAAAACGAGTCAGGGTTATATTTTTAAGATTTATACATATACTGATCAAATCATGGTAATTAGCATTTCTATCTCCTTATCAATTACTTGTATTTGGAGCATTCAAGCGCCTTTCTTCTAGCCATACATAGAATAAATAATGTTTTATTGTGAATCACAGTGACTCCACCATAAAGTGGAACATTAGAATAAATTACTTGTGTTTAAAGGTGTTTCAGATTTACCTCATAAATGTGTATAATTATTATGTATTAATGAAAAATGTATAAAGCCCTGTGGAATGGAAAAAATTTTTAAATTAATTTTAAAATCAAGATCAATGGCCTGGCACAATGGCTCAATTGGCTGACTCCTCACCTTGCAGGCGCCAGGATCCCATCCTGGTTCATGTCCTCACTGCTCTACTTCCCATCCAGCTCCCTGCTCGTGACCTGGGAAAGCAGCAGGACGGCCCAAAGCCTTGGGACCCTGCACCGGCTGTTGTAGCCACTTGGAGAGTGAATTAGCAGATGGAATATGTTTTTTTCTGTCTTTCCATAAATCTGATCTACTTTCCAATAAAAAAAATCTTAAGAAAACCAAGATTAAATAATGCAAATATAAGAACGAATGTGTCATTCTAAAAGTAGTTGAATTGATTGAGTCTTTCAGTGAGTTTTCAGTTAACAAATTACTGATGAAAATCATTTAGGTGCTAGGAAATCACCTGGAAAACATAGTAAAGAGGGAACTGTGAATGGATTCTGTCTTAACCAACTTAGTCTTTTGGAAGAGATAGTGAATAAATGTGACATTTCAAAACTCTAGATAGAACTATGCAAATAAGCTAGTGTTCTTCATATTTATCACATATTCTACTGTCACCAAGTGTGACATTTACTGTCAGCTTCTGTGCCTATGATCGGTAGATTCAAGACCAGATTTTATAGCCTGTCATATCTTGCATAAAACCGTCTAACTGACATCTGTTAATGGTTCTTACAGTGAGACCACATGTACCTAAGCCAGAGCTTTTACCTTTCTACACCATTCAGGTTATACTTCATTAAATATATGCTTCTTTTTAGTTCTACTCCTCATTTTTTGAAATGTGTTTTCTCACAGTTTCAATTGAGTGAAAGAATCTGCCTATGTGACTCAATAATCATTGCATTAGAAAGGTGGTTTATTAAAATTGAGCAAGGCTCTCAGTGACAGTAATGAGAAGGTCTCCCTATAGAAGTTAATGGCAAATATTAAGGGACTATACTACACATAATTGGGGAGGGGGAAATGACAGGAGTAAAAAATGGGTAGGGAGAAAGTAGAGGGAAGGGAAGAACCTCTATACCTACAAAACTGCATCATGGAAAAAAAAAGAATAAAAAAAGCGCAATGAATTTAAAAATTGAAAAAAAAAATTAATGGCAGAAGCAGGAGGTACTCCGTGAGGAAACTATGGAGCATCATGATGGCAGCTTTGGTAATTGGTAAGTGGTGATAATTCACAAATGGCTCAATTCATGGACATGGCACCTACATCCAGAGGAGAAATAGAATGATCCTGGCAAATAATAAACAGCACAGGCCTTCCTTCCTGCTGATCATCCTTTCTTCTTTTTTGGAAAGTGTTGAAGAGGTAGTACGTTTGAAAGCGCAGTATCAGCATGACTTGTGGCTTCCCTTTGGTTTGTTTGCCTTTTCTGACCACTTCAAAGAGTGTAGCTGGCAAAAATTGAGGTCGTTAGTGGCTAGTAGCCTTTTTTCCTTTTAATAAAATATATTTTTTATATTAATTAGCTTTGGAAAACTGTTACGATAAACGTAATATTATTGAATGGATATGGTATTTTTCAAGGACATTTCTCCATTGTTCCAGCATTCAGTTTATATCTCCTTAAGACTGTTAAAGCTGTTAAGCAATATTGAAATCTATTGTTTCATATTTGTAATAATCCATATTGATGATGATGAAAAGGATAAGAACCATGGAGACAAAATTGGGACCAATACAAAATTTCAAAGTCAGTATGAAGTAGATGTGAATTTGTCCTCAAGTTGCAAAACAATTTGTTGGAAAGTTAAAAAGAAAATGGTGTAGCAGTTATAGACAAGGGGGGGGGGTAAATAAAATTTGTATAGGTTTAGTCATTGTTGACTTAAGGCCAGTGAAAGTGTAATTTGTTGATTCAAACAAATAAATATTAAAGGACCTTTAAATGAACATGAAATACCACCCTGCATACAGGAAGTTTATAGTCTCTAGCTAGAGATCACGTCACAATGCCTGAAAAGTTAATGATACAAAATAACATTTTATTACATATCTATAAATTAGTATTACAGTAAATCTATAAGGAAAGAATTATGATAATTATACAGAAGAGGAAATAAGGTTGAGTATATTGTTAAAATTCATACAGCTAATTGGTAGTGCAGGGAACCCAAACAGCTATAAATGAAGGCAAAACATGCTCTTAAATGTAATGCAGTTATTCCCATTCACTGATTCTTAGGACTCCAATCTAGCTTCAGCACTCCAGTAAGACTGCAAATATGACAACTCTCTATTGCTGACTGTAAATGTAGTGGTTTCAAACAACTCCGCCTTTATTAGTTCTCAGTTCTTATGTCACAGTCCAGCACTCTAGCTGGGTGCTCTGCTCATGGTATCTGAGTATCTACTGGGTTGAATTCTCAGTACAAATCATCTTCCAAACTCATTCTCTTGGCAGAATTCAGTTTGTTGTAGCTGTAGGACTGAGGTCACAGCTTCCTTGCTGCTGGGCATCCATGAGCTATTCTCAGGTTCTAGAATCATTTGTGTTCCCTGCCATAGGTCCCGCCCCATCTTCAAGCCAGGAACAGTGCATTAAATCTTTCTTACACTTCAAATTTCTGACTTTCTCTACCCATGCCTTGTAGATCCAGTTTTAAGGACTCCATGTGTGATTGGCTCAGGCTCACCCAGACAAGCTCCCTCTTAAAGTCAAGTTGAATCTTTAATTACCTCTGTGAAATCTTTTTTGTCACATTATGTAAGAAAAATCACTGGAATAATATACATAGTCACAGCTCTCATCCAAAGTCAAAGGGAGGAGGTTATGTAAGGTCATTGGGAGTTATTTTGGAATAAATCTAAGAAACCACTGAAGAACATGACAATTAGAAACAGGAAAATGCATACTTATTTAAAGTTGCAAAGGATAGAAAGTAGCAAAATAGCTCTCTGCCCTTGAAATAAAAGTAAAAAGCAAGGTTACATATCAGAAAACGATGATAACTACTCTTTCAGCAATAAGCTATTTAAGACAGAAAACCCCTTTTAAAATTTGAGATTTCTTTAAAGATTTATTTATTTTTATTAGAAAGGCAGATTCACAGGAAGGAGAAACCCTTATTTTGAAGGTCTGAATCACCACTCAGCTTCATGGATGCTATAGTGGCTTACTGGATAACGCACCCATTATTTGTTCCCTTCCCTTTCTAGCCTTACTCCCACTATCCTCATTTTCTGTGATCACCTTCTGATGTGCTTAAATTCTTGTCTCAGATTTTCAGGCACTCAGCATAATAGTGACGATATCCTTGCATGTGGTTTGCATTGGTGGATAAGGCCATGAAACGTTGGTAGACAAATAACCTTGAAATCCAGCCAATGAGGGATTTTGTTATTTTGTTTCCTTAGCTGTAGAATAAGGACCATAATATGTATCTAGTTGCCTTAATTGGGGGATTGATAAAAGATAAATGAGTTGACTCAGAGAAGACACTCAGTAAAGCTAATTCCTTTTTCCATTTTTCTGGAAACCCAAGTGTCTTCCCTCTGTTTAACTTTTGTATGTCCAAGAACCTGCTTTCATCATCTAAACAGTCTGCTCTCTCTAGGTGTGACATAATAACAGTTATCCATGCAATTATGTATCTCTAAAAAATTTTGAATATTTTATTATAATTAAGTAAGCCAAATATTAAACACCCCTATGTTTAAGTTGAATACAATGCTTTAAAAATGTATCGTATTTTAAATTCTTACTTTTATTGCTACTTCATTCTCCTTTTCTTAAAGTTCTCTGAATCACAGGGGGAGTACATTTAGAACAAAATGGCCAGAGCAAGCAAATGATTTTCAGGAATGCACTGCTCTAATTCCACTGTGAATCAACTTTTTTTGTTTGTTTTCTGATTTGAATATGGATCTGATTCAAATCCACATCGTGTAACATATATAGAAAGGACAAATAAATGCCATTTTAATGTCAATATGATTTTATGTAATTTGTGAAATATCAGAACATTAATAAACTCTGGTATCAGATGGCCTGATTTAAATCTCAGCTCAGTTATCTATGTATGTCGTGTGACCTCTGGTAAGGTATCCTATGTATGCATTAGTTTCCTTATCTGTTACAGAGTATTGATAATGGTATCTTCTTTGCAGTATTTTTTTTCTCTGAATTATGTGCTGATTTCATTTACTGTGTGCATATTCCCAGTAGTAAGATGACTGTATCATATGATAGCTGTATTTTCAGATTTCTAAAGAATCTCCATACTGCCTACCATAGGGGTTGCACTGGTTCACATTTTCCTCAACAATGTATTATGGTACCTGTAAAAAGATTCACATCCTCACTAGCAGTTGTCATTTATTTTTTTTTAATGTTTTGAATGAAAGCCATTCTAAATGGCTTGATGTGAACTTTCACTGAAGGCTTTTTTCTAAAAAGTAATTATTCATTTGTTAATTTGAAAGGGAATGAGAGAGTGAGAAGAAGAGAGATGGGGGGGAAGAGAGAGAGAGAGAGAGAGAGAGAGAGATGGATTGGGTCCAGTCAAATCCAGAAGCCTGAAACTCCATCTAGGCTTCTCATTAGGTGACAATGGCCCAACCACTGGGAGCATCAGCCACTAGTTTTCAAAGCACATTAGTAGGGAACCTTATTGGAATGGAAATGCTGGGACTCAAACCAGCACTCTGTTATGGGATCTGGTTAAGCAATACTTAACCCATTGTGCCAGAACACCTATCCACCTCACAGGATTGATGTAAGACTTAAATGAGTCAATACACATAAGACAAAGCAATTCTTTTCATAAACTCCTGATAAATACTGGTTACTGTTATTTATGCTATTATTATTTTGTCAACGATATTCCTTATGATATCTCTCACCTACATGGGAATGTCAATCTTTTTCTTCCTGTATTGTGTCGTGGAGAAGTATTATTTGGGGACTGTCCACTTATTCTAGAACTGTTCACTTGTCTGTATCCCAATTAGCATGTCAGGTACGTGATGGCAGGCTGTCCTATGTTAATTTCTATGTCTGCTAATTTTTGGAACTGTGTGGTTAAATATGTTTACTTCCAAAGTTCTTGGTTTTAAATCATTAAGCAGTGAATTTCAGGAGAGATTTTATAGCACTGGTACAAAAACAGAAAAAGAACTGGTGAAGGTGGCTCTGTCACTTCACCAGCTGTTTGACTTGAGGTATATGATTGTGTCTCACTGAGCCCTACTTTCCTCATCTATCGAATAGTGTGTAAAGTTTTAGGGTGGTTGTGAGAATCAAATGAGACAATATACGTCAAATATCTAGAACATTGAAGGCATTCTCATGAATAATTCTTATCTTATTCCTTCTTCATTACTCTAAAGTGCTGCTCAACAAGAATTCGAAGACAACTAGACAGAAATCTCACCTTTCATAAAATGGTAGCATGGATGATTGCACTGCATACTGGTAGGTATTTCAAAGAAATTTTGAACCACGTTTTCATTGTTCTTAGATGATTTCTTTTGCAAGAGTTCAGCTTTCATAGGTTAAATATGCTCAGATAGGTTGTAGTTTTTAAGAGAGTTCTTTTAAAAAAGTATTTACCCACCTTTTTGTTGTCTCAGTATTAGAGTTTATTTCTTTAGCTATTAAAACTTTTACATCTTAGAATCTGTCTAAATGAAATTGTGCCATGGGGAAACTCAATGCAAGCATCCTCATTCTTTTCCATCCCTTTCAGCATCACAAATGTCTGTTAGTACACGAATGAGAGCCTTTATTCATTCCACCAAAGTGTTTGGTTGCACACGTGGATCTGTGGATATTTTTTGCAGTAAATCTGTAGGAGCCAGAGCTCATAAATTAATAATTCCTTAAGATGTTTCATATCAGCTAAAATATCTTCATTATGGTGATGATAATGATGATATTTTATGTGTATATATTATATATAATAATATGAGTATGTTATATGTAATATATGAGTTTGCATGTAAACATATACATTTATGTACAATTATTAGGCTGGTGTTTCAGTGCAAAAGGTGGGTATCTGGGTCCATATCCAATGTCCATCAAGTATGCAGTCAGTGTTCCAGAAGGTAGATATGCAGTGATGACAGATTTTTTTTAAGATTTATTTGTTTTTATTGGAAAGTCAGATATGATATACAGAAAGGAGGAGAGACAGAGAAGAAGATCTGTCCGACGGTTCCCTCCTCAAGTGGCCGCAATGGCTGGAGCTGAGCCAATCTGAAGCCAGCAGCCAGGAGCTTCTTCTGGGTCTCCCACACGGTGCAGGGTCCCAAGACCTTGGGCCATCCTCCACTGCTTTCCCAGGCCACAAGCTGGATGGGAAGTGGAGCTGCCGGGATTAGAACCGGTGCCCATATGGGATCCTGGTGTGTTCAAGGCAAGGGCTTTAACCACTACGCTATCACACTGGGGCCCACATCAGTTTTTTATTCATCCTCAGAGTTTATCCCTAGTCCAAGTAAAATAGCTTAGATTACAGATACATCATCTGATTTTTCTCTTCTTCTACTAGGACATGCAGGCTTTTTGAGATGTGGCAAATTAGCTAGTTCAAAGGAAACGTGTGACAGAATCTTGTTAGAAAGTGGTGTAGTTAGTGTCACAGATTTGGATACCAAACTGCTTCTGTTACTTCCTAGATTGGTGACCCTGGACAAGCTTTGAAATAAATGGATGTCTTAGTTTTCTCATCTTTAAGATGAGCTGAAATTAAATAGTACCTACACCATTGAGGCAATTACAAGTTAAGTAACTGTAAAGAACTTACATAACAGTGTGTAACACCTAGTAAGACCTGTATATGTGTTTGTTAAAATAATACATTCACTTTCCTTCTTAAGAGAACCGTGCTTTGAAACTATTGGTTTGTATCAATTCAATCACATTTATCAATAATTTCAGAATCAGATAAAGGGGCCAGGTGGTAGTCATAAAATTCTTGAAATTTTTCTCTGAGTACAATCATATTGGAGGGAGAGAGATAATGCGGGCATAACAAAGCACCATCCTTAGAGAACTAAGGTTATTTTTTAGAATCTTAGAATGTGATTAGGTCTCAGGTGCAGGTAGTTCAAGATCCTCATTTGACAAGTGAGGAAACCGAGACACAGAGAACTGAAGTGATTTTTCTCACAATCACACAATTGGACAGATTACCTACTATTTAGCCTGGCTTTGCTGGTTCTGCAGATCCCAGTTCTTGTTATTAAGTGTCGTGGGCCACCTTAGTGTCTCCCTATGGCATCATAGAATCAGATGCTGTGGCTGGAGCTAACAATAAATTTGTGCATACCCCTAATCCTCTTTATTTCTCTTTTCTGTTTTCTTTAGCAATTCACACAATTGCACATCTATTTAATGTGGAGTGGTGTGTGAACGCCCGAGTCAACAATTCTGATCCTTATTCAATCGCACTCTCTGAAATTGGAGACAAAAAGGGTGAAACATACCTCAATTTTGTTCGAGACAGAATCAAGGTAAGCCTTTCATTTCCTGATTCAATTGTTCACTAAGCAGTTAAAACTGAGGACTAGTTTTTAGTGAGTGAATGCTGTGAGCAGAGCTAGAACCATAACAAAAGCTAGCTAATCATGAGAAAGGGCAAATCGGTAGGTTATAAGACTGAATACAGAAGGAATGCCTGCCACTTTCCTGAGCCCATGTACGGAGGGGCTCTGGTTGTTTCTCAGACCTGTGAGAATGTGCATTCGGAGACTGTAATACCTCACGCTCTATCTTGGCCAGGACCATGTCTCTAGTCAAACAAATTTAGATCTATTATCTGCTACAGCAAATGGAACCTCACACTATGGGAGTGTTAGAATGAATTTGATGTCAGATTTAGACTGTCAGATGATTTGGGAGAGAGTTTAGGAAAGCAAACCTTTGATCTATGTAGTTTATGATTAGGTAGCTTAATATATTTTTCTAGGAGGCAGAAGTAAAAGAGTGGGGCTAGATCTTTAACAGGTAAAGAGACAGCAGTTTCCTCCATTTTGGTCTGAGCTCAGACATGATTTCAGAGTAGTCTTATTCTTTTTGCATTCCAGCACAGTAGAGTGACCTAGTCCAATGTTGGTGTTTTGTGAAATAAGCGGGAAACACCCTTGGCTTGGCAATAGTGTCAGACCAGCCACCAACTGGCAGATGTCAATGATGCCTTTCTTCCTTCCTTTCTCTCTCTCTTTCTCTCCCCCACTTCCTTCTTTCTTTTCTTTTTGTTTTTTATTACACACAACATCTGAGGAGCGGCCCACTAATTATTGTGCCTTGAGAAGCCTGGTGCATTGGGAGTAACTCAACAGTTCTCCAGGAACAATCACAAGTATATTCAAAGGGAAGGACTTCTTCCCTTTTCTCAGAGGAAGGGAAGTCATCGAGAGAGAGAGAGAGAGAGAGAGAGAGAGAGAGAGAGAGAGAGAGAAATGCCAAGCAATATTCATGTGCCCAAAAGGCTTGGCAAGATGGAAGATGGTTCAATTATATTGAATTCCAAACATTTTTATCTCATCTGCTTCACTTTCCATCTAACTCTCTGCTAATGGCTTGGGAAAAGCAAGGGAAAATGACCCAAGTGTTTAGACCCCTGCACTTACATGGGAGTCTGAGATGAGGTTCCTGGCTCCTGGCTTTAGCCTGGTTCAGTCCTGGCCATTGTGGCCACATGAGAAGTGAACCAGCAAATGGAGGATCTCTCTTTCTCTCCTTTTCTCTCTGTAACTCTCAAATAAATAAACAAATCTCTCTCTCTCTCTCTCTCTCTCTCTCTCTCTTAAATAACAGAAGACATTATTTTGTGAAAGAATTTATTATACTCAGACTGACATGAAAAAATTTCATCTACTTAGGGACAGAGTTAAACAGCATCAAACTAAACAGAAATTCCTCCCCTACCATATTTTGCACACTTTTCTTTTACAATGGTCGTAATTTGCCACATGACACATGAGACTGGTAATATAAAATACTGTGGTGAACTGACATTGTTACTCTGCCTAGATCTCTTTGGATCATTTTTATTGTATCTGTACCCTTCCATCCTTCTCTTGCTTTCATTTTCAATGACCTACACATGTACTCCCTCTTCAGAGGCCTGCCCTGGAGATTAAAGTCTATTGGCCTATATGCTCATAAACCAAGGAGGACTCGCCTAGATGGTTCTCTCCCTGGGTAGTCCTTAGTCACTGACGCATGGGTGCTCATGATGAAAATACAGATTCCTCACTTTGAGGCAGAACTTAGCCTGCAGAATCTCCCTCTAGGATCCAGCTGAGTCTCTCCCTGCTAAGACGTTTCCTGATATCATCCCTTTGCTTGACTTGTTCCATTTTCCTGTTCTATCCCCCATTAGCTTACTCATTTCACTTGGAGTAGATTTCTTTTTAGATCACTTTGCCATGATGCTTCATCTCAGGCCCTGCTTCTGGCAAGCCAAACCTAAAATGTTAGGTGTTTCCAGAATACATTTGCAAATAAAGCACCCCCCTTCCAAATCAAAGCAGAAAAAGTGCCAGATACTTTCGGAGTGCTTTATACTCAATTGGTTTCTTTTATTTGATATTCACTTAAATTGTTTAAGCGTATCAATTCATGTTTCCTAGGATATTTTAACCACTTAAGACATTTTAAAATGAAGAAATGTCTATTTCAAATCCAGAAGTCTGTAATGAATGATAAGGATTATGCAAAGGATCGTGAAAGTACCTATTGCACAATACACTGTGCATTTTATAACGAGGTACTTCTGCTTGAGAGCCTTCCATAGTATGTAATGTATTTGCATGTGTGTGTGTATATATTTTACAGAACCCTGAGGGAGGCCTGTTAGTGGCTGTGACTCGGTTAGCCGGCATCACTGGAATCATCATTACACTGTGCCTCATACTAATAATCACATCCTCCACCAAAACCATCCGGAGGTCTTACTTTGAAGTGTTTTGGTACACACACCATCTCTTTGTCATCTTCTTCATTGGTCTTGCCATTCATGGTGCTGAGTAAGTATTTGAACACTAATGCCAGGTACTTAATATCCCTCATGTTTTTAGATGTGGTTGTCTTAATGGAAACTCAGCAACCTTGCTGGTGAGTGGCCAACCTGCCTACTGAGGGTATGTGAAATTACAGCAGATGGTCAGTTCAATTAAAAACCACTCGGCAGCCCTTTTTTGAGGGTATCCAACCAGTTGGTATTGCTACAGCAATTATTTATAGCAAGCCTGACAAATACACCAAACTCTGAGGATAAGATGTGTTGAGGGCAAAGGTAGGGTCCTCAACACCTTTAATAGTGTCTATGTGATTTAGTCAGTATCGAATTAGACAAAAACCACAAAATAGATGGGTTAATGGTTAATCAGTTTCAAGGGATTTGCTGCAGTTCAGTTATGACTTAAGCCAACAAGCATTTATTAATTGCCTACTGTCTGTGAGGAGCTATCTCAGGTGCCATGGGAATGCTAGTAGGAAAACATATATGGATTTTTCCTTCAAATATTCTACTCTATTAAAGTTAGCTACTAATTTCTGATGAGCACTCGTTCATATCACAGCAAGTGCTAAGGAGTTGAAATGAAAGTTTTTCTTAATCCTTAAAATAGATAGATGCTCTCACTATCCTCATTTCCTGGTAGTAGAAATTGCACACAACAAACCTGAAATTAAAACTAGTCAAATATGTAGGCAAGGCCACACAGCTGGTAAGCCCTCTAAGGATGGAGCCCAGGTAATCTCAAATAGGTTGTACATCTCTCATAGATGGGAGAGTTGACCTTACCGGGAGTCCTCTTTGATGGTGAACTTTTTCTACTGTGTCACACCAGCTGCACACAAAGGCGGGCCTGGGATGTTCCCTGGTGGGCATAGTGTCCCAGGAAACCAAAGGTCGGAGAGTGAATGCTCACAGTTCAAATTTTCAGCTCAGAGTCAAGTCTAAAGATGGCAAAGATGAATGTGAAGGGCAGGGGGTAGGAAGGGGAGAGGTAGCCCCTGAAAACCACTGAATGCATTCTTACTCTCCTTGCTGACTGTAACCCCTACTTAACAATTTCTAAGCACTGAGAAATCAATGTAGACAATGATTCTGTTGGAGTAGGTCCTTGGCCAAGCTCCTCAGACGTCTATTAAGATGCCTGCATTCCATAATAGAGTGCCCGGATTTGATAACCAGAACTTACTACTTAAACTGAACCTTGGGAGGTGATGATGGTGACTCAGGTAATTGGATTCCTTCCACCTGCATGGGAGTTCTGGATTCCATTCTCAGCTCCCAGCTCTGTCCCTTTCCAACCCTGGTCACTGTGAGCATTTGAAGAATGAAGCAACTGATGGGAGTTCTCCCTTTCTCATTTCTCCCTTCCTCTCTTCCATCCTTCTTTCTTTCTCTTTCTGTATCCCTGTCTCTCAAATAAAAGAAAAAAGTAAACAAAAAGAATGTCTTTGTTTTCCTAAAGCAACTGAGTTATCTGTCAATAAGAATTTAGCCATAATCCAGTGGCTTCAGAGAATTCTGGAAAAGATAAGTAATTTCTCCCTTTTGGTAATTTACTAATCCATCATTCTTCATTTGTAGCTTTCACAGATATCCATCTTCCTTTCAGAAGATTAAGAGGCTTTATTTACCACATCCACTTGAGAATTTGCTACTTACTACTGGTTAGGTGATTTCTCACTGTCTCCGTTTAGCTGGGATTAAAATCCACATCTCTGGACTACTGGTCCTAACAGTAAAGAGAAAAGCAGATTTGCTTTCTATTATTTATTTCCCTTTTGAATGTGAGCATGAAGACTTTAGTATTTTGTTTAATGCTTCCTTTGTATCTAACATTTTTTATACATCAATGACAATTGATTGTTAAATTAGGCTTTCATGAGACATTGCCATGCTTATTTTATGGCTGAAGAAACGGAGACACAAAAGGAATTCTATAATTTGCCTGAGTGCACCAAATTAGTAAGGGGTGAAACTGAGGTTGGGAGTCAAGGCTGACTTGCTTGAAATAGGATTGTTTTCACCCAGTCATTATGGTTTGAGTTACCAGATCATCCTGTGCTGTTATTCCCCTCCTGTAAAATTGGGTCAATAATACTGGCATCTTAGGTTTGTTATTAAGATTAACTGAAAAAAAAATCATGTATAATGCCCTTCTTCAAGTTTGAAACATAATAGATGCTCAGTACATGGTAATTCTCTTCCCCAATAACTCAGAATACAAACAAGTGGTTAATTGAAACTGTCATAATATATCAAATGGCATGATAAAAATGTCTTGCTTCTCTTCTATATTCTGAAGATTCTGTCAATTGTGTTCCTGAAGGTCAGGGACATGACTTACTTACTTTTGTGCCTCCCTTTTTCTATCCTCACTAAACTCAGAACTGTCTTAGGTTTTTCAATTTTTACCTATTGAACTGAAGTGAATGAGCTGTAACACTTCGAGGTAGTTTCTCTCAGTCCAGATATCTGTGAAAATGCCATCATCACGCTAAAATTATGTCTTCTCAAAAAGACAGCCTTTGAGTTTCATTGAGATAAAATTGATAAAACACTTGGGCTAAGTCCTAGGGCTACTGTATCTTACCGTTTGGGTTGTCTGCTATACAAAGGTGCTTGGCCACAGAGGATAAATGTTGCCTATGAGACTGTCCTCTTGGAAGGGATGCCTTTTTCTAATTCATACAGAAGCACTGTATGAGCTAACAATTACTCTCTTTCATTTGTCATTTTTCTGGTTTTCTTTGTTTGTCAATGACAATGATACTTTTTTTAAGATTAGCAACTTTAATTTTTTTTTTCATTTTATGACACAGTTTCATAGGCTCTGGGATTCTCCCATCCCCTCCAAAAAGCCCTCCCCCATATTAAATTCCTCCATATTGTTACAGTAGTACAGTTCATATCCAGTTATGATTCCTTCATTGCATGCATGGACCCTGCAGAGAGTCCAGCATCTTATTGTCCAGATAAATTCAACAGTTTCATTGGGAGACCATCCCTGGTCTGAAAGTAGAGCAGGCAGAATGACAATGATACTTGACTCAGAAGCATGAGTTCTCCCTTTAAGAAAACGCATTGGTGATCCGAGACTTAGCCTCTATAATGTTGCATTATAGATAGTCCTTGTGACATTGCATGTGTTTTTTCCATTATTCAAGAACATTTACATTTTATTTTTTGCTTTACTTTAATTAGTTAGAAAGGGTGATAAATGTACTACTTTGAGAGAGACATACAGGACCTGTGCGAAAATATTTTAAAGATTCCCAGAATCTGGGGAAAGAAAGCATAATGCCTTGCTACTAAGTGAGCTGAACTCATATTTTTTCCCAGACGAATCGTACGTGGGCAAACCAATTATAGCTTGAAGATTCACGATCCAGAGTTTTGTGAGCAACATATCCGAGATTGGGGAAAGATGGAGAACTGCACAATCCCAGAGTTTGCCGGGAACCCTCCTATGGTATGTATAATACATTGTGGCATTTAATTACTCAAAATCTTCCAACAACATCTAAGAAACATGTACAAATGTCACAGAGTTGTACATTATAAATGTTATGGGGCTGCTAAAATGTTATGTTTGGTTTTTGTTGCAGTACTTATTGGAAAAAATGTTTCTAGACAAATAAGATTTTCATTTTTCTGTCTCATTACAGAAGTTAGAAAAGCAGTGTTTTTTAAAAGTGCTATTTGGTTTCAAGAGGTTCCATCTTGCTTCTGCTTATAAGGGTCATGATAACAGAAGTTGATGATTTTGTTTGTTTGTTTTGTAAGGACATTTGGGTGATTCCATCCTGAACTGAATAGGACAGTTCAAATAAGTTACTTCTATGGAGCTAGGGGCCTCTTTCAAAAATAAGACGGTCTAAACAGGGAGGGAAATTGATGAGGCAGCACATTGTGTTTCTTTTTAATATCGAGAGGTCCCATCTATGGGGCATAAATGAAGCTAGAGATAGGCAGGTTCATACCAATACCCAAAGGTGCCATATGGGTGGGACAGGAGGGTGGCAACGCTGACCAAGGGAAAACATGATAGAATATTCTTCCATAGAGAACATTGAAGGGCTCTGTTTTTATGTTTTCTCAATATTTCTGCTCCATGATGTGAGAAGTGTGCCCTGTAATCCCCATTATGTTTTTTCTATTGGCAGACAATATTAGTGTATTTTATTGGCTATTGAGTCAGCCACTGGTGTAAAAGTAGACAAGAATCAAAATTTATACAAGCTTTCTGAATGGTGTTATTAGTTTTTCCTTAAACACAATGTAACATAAAGGCACATTTCTCATCCCATCTTCTCCTGTCTCTTTTCCTACTCTCTTAGCATGGGGATACTCTTCTTGTAGACATAGCATGTTATGTGAGGAGTTCACATCTTAAGCATTCTTGCTCAATGAGGACAATAAATATATCAGTGAGCTGCCACTGCTACAGGCAGACATTGGTGGAAAAGACAAAAAGGAAACTGTATTGCTGGCCTTCTTATGCGTTGAGGAAGGCAAATTCCTCAATGACAGCTGAGGTCAGAATTCTACTGCTATAATTGGCATCTACCTAGCCACCTCATAGGAACTTCCAGCTCTCTGGGGCTATTAGAGATGTGAAAGTCGAGAGGGGTGGGGGGAGGGAGAGAGGGAGAGAAGAAAGAGAGAGAGAGAGAGAGAGAGAGAGAGAGAGAGAGAGAGAGAGAGAGAGAGAGAATCTCCCATTTGTTGGTTCATACATCCAAAAGGCTGCAACAGGCAGAACTGGGCCAGTTCCAAGCCAGGAGCCTCCCTGGGTCTCCCACCTGAGTGCATCTGTTTTCCCAGTGAATTACCATGGAAATGGTTCAGAAGTTAAGCAACTGGGACTGAAATCGATACTCACATGAGATGCCAGCAGTACAGACTGAGTCCTAGCCTGATATGCTACAAGTTCACCTCAAGTATTGTCTTCTAAAAGTCTAATACTTCACATGTTGGACTAGGAGCTCAACTGTACAGTCCCAGGATTGATTGATTTGGCCTAAATGTTTTTACATATTCAGTAGTACCACAAAGTAATGCTGATTTGCTAAAACAGTGCATATTCAGAGCAGAGAGCTATGTAGAAAAATCTGAAAATATTTGGGTTTGTCTCAACTCAGCAAGTACACTACAAACCTCCTTCAAACCTATTGAAGAAATCGCTAAAAAATCTTGCACAAATCTGTCATCTTGCACAAGATTAATCTTTGACTACATGGTGAGCACAATGTTGCATTAAAAATATCATGTTGCTGAAATGCTATCCTTTAGAAAATATTAATTCTGAAACCAACCTTGCACTCTTGTAAAATTATTGCAACTACAGTTGCGACATGAGAGGAAATCACATTCTTGGGGGCAGTTCCTCTTGGGGAAGTTTCATTCTGTGGATACAGTTCCCCAATGTGGCTAAGCAGAATGTTCCTTTTTATTAACTTAGTAATATATCATAATGTTGTGTTTTTACTTACTTTGTTATAGGAGAAACTTACTTCTCTAATGTCAAATATTTCAACATTCCTCTAGATTAACTACTTGAAAGATTTTTTTTTTCTTCCTTGGAATCTCTTTTTAGCTACAATCCCTTAACATGTTTAATTTTTGCTTTTATTGCAGACATGGAAATGGATAGTGGGTCCTATGTTCCTGTATCTGTGTGAGAGGTTGGTCCGGTTTTGGCGATCTCAGCAGAAGGTGGTCATCACCAAGGTATTATTTCATTTAGGAATTATGAGGAGTCATAGCATTGGTCATAGTTGTCTTTTGTTCAGTTTTCTGTTGATTGAATTTAAAACAGCAAGATGACCTCTGATATTTTATCCACCGTATTTAGGTTAGTAATCAACAGGTTGGGCCTTTATTGGGAAAGCTGAAACTTCTCATCTTCTGTGTTAAAATGAAGCCAAGCGTTTGTTTGCATGAATCCTGACCTGACTCACCCCCACCTCAACTAGTGTGTACATTGTGGCATTATATAGTTAGAAGTGGAGGAAAGAAAAGCTGAGTTTAAAGGATGTAAATGAGGATTAAAATTTTCAGATGCCAGAAAAACCAAAGATTTAGGGGAAGATTCTTGTTCTGGGCTTTGTATTGTAATCACAGCAAATCGGGCAAAGTGCCCCAAGCTGCACCTCAGATTCACCCTCAGAACTCCAAATCTAGAGTAGTGCCCCTCTCTGCCACCCTGCAACACACATTTTTGTACTTTTCCTCATCACAAAATAAATAATATCCAGATACGTAGAAATAGAAACCCCTTGTTATAGCTTTAGCAAATGCAAGGGAAGACCATTTTGATCAAATAAAATTTCGTTCAGTTTGACCAAGTCTAAAAGTATGTACCAAAAGCCTACTATGGATCTTTTTTGTAAAGCACACAAATTCTTTTCTTAGCCCACGAATGATGTTCTCATTTGGTGTGTACGAAGGGTTATAGTAAGACAAATTTAGCTGACATTAGAAGTCTTAAAATATGAAACCACAACAGTTCTTCTTTTATATTTACAATAGATTTGTGAAGAAAATCCCACAGATCAGCAAAACAAGCTGCCAAAAATTTTCCCTTACTAAACAAGAAATGACTGAACTGAACAAGTGTTTTCTTTTAAAAATTTTTTTTCTTTTATTCATTTTTAGTATTTTTCTTAAACATAGTTTAAGGAAAAATGTGTTTTTCTATAAAGAAAGCACAATAATTTCCCTCTCTCAGAAACAAATATAAGAAACAAGAGCATTCCAGTGAACATGCTGTCCGCTAACACATCTTTAAATTCTGTTTCTGCCAGTATGACAAAATCGCAATGTGCTAAAAATTGTTTTCATCACACAAAATTGCAACATGCTGTACATTTTTTCAATGTAATCGTCGTTTTCTATTTTCAAGATGAATCTTGACAATGCCTCATTTCATTAAAGAAGACAAGTTGTTTACAGATTTATTATGTAAGATATATTTAATTCACAAGTTTTGCAAACATTTGGCTCTTTTTATCGGAAAAAATTCACACATTTCCACACTTCTCACTTGTGAAAAGAGAAGTCCTCAATATCAGTCAATATTTAAAATTGTTGTTTTGTTTCTATTTAATTTTTTTTTTTTACTTTGGCATGTCTTAACTCATCTTTACTTTAAAATACAAAGTTCTCCACTTCCCATCCAGCTCTCTGCTTGTGGCCTGGGAAAGCAGTCGAGGACGGCCCAAAGCCTTGGGACCCTGCACCCGCGTGGGTGACCTGGAAGAAGCTCCTGGCTCCTGGACTCAGATTAGCTCCAGCCATTGCGGCTACTTGGGTAGTCTATCAGTGGACATAAGATCTTCTTCTCTGTCTCTCCTCTGTATATCTGACTTTACAATAAAAAATATATATATACATATATATATAAATTTCTTCTAGGCATATATGGAATCATCAAAGAAACAATACTTTTAGTTTAATTTCTAGTTGTCACAGAATAATCGCACATATTTATGATGCACGATGTAATGTTTTTATGCATCTGTACATGATAGAATGACCAGACCATAATATTTAGCATATCTATCACCTCAACATTTATCATTTCTTTGTAGTGGAAATATTTGAAATTTTTATCATTTCTTTGTAGTGAAAATATTTAAAATTTTTATTCTAGCTTTTTGCTTTAAATATACACTATTTCATCATTATCTAGTCACTTACTGTACAAAAAAGGATCAGCTCTTATTCCTCCTAGCTACCTGTAACATTGAACCTGTTGACCAACTTCTCGCTGTGTCCCTCCTCCTTTCTACCTCCAGCCTCTGATAACCCTATTCTACTTGTAACTTCTGTGGCAACTTTTTTAGATTCCATGTATAAGTAATATCATGCAGAACTTGCCTTGCTGTGCCTGGCTTTAGTTCACCTGGCATCTTATTCTCCAAGTTCAACCTTGTTGCCAGGAAAGAGAGGGAGAGAGAGAGAGAGAGAGAGATCCTCCACTCCTGTCCAAATGGCCATGATGGGTGGAGGTGGACTAGTCTGGGCTTCCTATGAGAGTTCAGGAACCCAAGTACTTGAGCCATCCTCCACTGCTATTCCAGGGTATAAGCAGAGAGCAGTATCAGAAATGGAGCACCTGAGACATGAACTGGTGCCCATATGGAATGCCAGTGTCACAGGCAGTGGCTTAACTCGCTATCCCATAGCACTGGACCCCAAAGAAATGTTTTATTTCATAGGTGGTCACTCACCCTTTCAAAACCATTGAACTACAAATGAAGAAGAAGGGTTTCAAGATGGAGGTGGGACAATATATTTTTGTCAAGTGCCCCGCTGTGTCCAAGCTGGAGTGGCACCCTTTCACACTGACCTCTGCCCCTGAGGAAGACTTCTTCAGCATCCATATCCGTATTGTTGGGGACTGGACTGAGGGGCTGTTCAAGGCTTGTGGTTGTGATAAGCAGGAGTTTCAAGATGCATGGAAACTACCTAAGTAAGTATAAAATGCCCAAAGCAAATGTGCATGGGTTCAGGAAAAATGACACAGAATATTTCTTTTTCCCTGTATCTCATTGAATTAGGTCCTGAGCCTCTCTCATAACACACAGAGGTTCTAAGAAAACAGTTTCTTATCTCTGTGTTTCCTGTTGTGTCAGTGTGTTGTGTTTATGCAGTTTCAAATATCTCACATGAAATATAAAATGTATGAATTTTAGTCATGAATAGTCCTTTAAATATGAGTTACTTTAAATATGAGAGTCAAAGCCGAATTACATTAACTTTCAGTGTTTGAAAGAACTTCTTATATTTTCATGGGCATGATTTATTTGAGGATAAATGCCATATGTTATTTGCTTTGCCTTCTTCACCCTGTATGCCTAACATAACTTCAGGCACTTTGTGAATGTTGAAGAAAAGCTTGTAAGATAGTTCCAAGAATAGACAAAAGAGGAATGGGGATATTGAATCAGTAAGATGTTTTGATGTTAAAAATTCTCACTACAGTATTCAATATAAGCAAGAATTTTAAGTGAGGATTTTCTTGCAAGAGATGCAGGTGTGTGTGTGTGTGTGTGTGTGTGTATGCACAATGTTCAGAGGGGTGAAGAAAGTTTTAAAAATCCATACTGAGATATCAGGTGCTTATACATATGGTTGGCTGAAAAGTCTTATTTCCAACCCCTGTGTAGTTAGGTTGAGTATTGAGTTGGTTATTTGAAATTTGTTTCACAAAAGAAAGCTTCACATAAATACATTGTTGAAGTTTAAATAGACACATGTCTTCAATAATAAAAGATGTCCCATCTTACTTTGAAGAGCAATAATAACAATTTCCTCCAACTTCAATTCAGGATAGCAGTTGACGGGCCCTTTGGCACAGCAAGTGAAGATGTGTTCAGCTATGAGGTGGTAATGTTAGTGGGAGCGGGAATTGGAGTGACACCGTTTGCATCCATCCTCAAGTCTGTCTGGTACAAATATTGCAATAACGCCACAAATCTGAGGCTAAAAAAGGTATGTTCCTTCATTTTCTGAGAGTTTGGAGTGGTTATCCCACTCTGCTAAGTGTAGCCTGATAGTGTGATAAGGCGTAAGGCTGACTAAGGCAAGAGGAAGTGAAGAGAAACTTTAAGTTTGTCCCAGAAAGCAGATTTCTCTTCAAAGGCCCATTGGATAAGTTAAATGTGCTTCCATACTCATAAAAGAAGGCCATTTAGTGAAAGCAATATGTTATATTTTGTATCACATTATTTGAAATTCCAAAGAAAGAAAGTTGGGAAACAGTGAATGTATAAATATTGAGTGTACAATTTCATACCTAAACATATTACTGAAATTGTGTTCAGGTTTTATAGTGATTATGATGATTCTTTCATGTTCCTTTGAGAGAATATACAATAATTTTTCCGGGCCCGGCGTGATGGTGTAGTGGTTAAGGTCCTCGCCTTGTACGCCCAGGATCCCATATTGGCGCCGGTTCTAATCCTGGCAGCCCCGCTTCCCATCCAGCTCCCTACCTGTGGCCTGGCAAAGCAGTGGAGGACGGCCCAAAGCTTTGGGACCCTGCACCCGCGTGGGAGACCCAGAAGAGGCTCCTGGCTTCGGATTGGCTCAGCTCCAGCCATTGCGGCCGTTTGGGGAGTGAATCATTGGACGGAAGATCTTCCTCTCTGTCTCTCCTCTCTGTGTATCTGCCTTTCCAATAAAAAATTTAAAAAATAAATCTTTAAAAAATATATAATAATTTTTCCATCATCCCATTGTTAAATATTGAGATTGATTCAATTTCCACCCCACCCCCAATTATATACTTGCAGGAAGAAAGCAGGAACCAAAATTTTTACTTCTTATGTGTATATTCTCAGGATCAATTCACAGAGGATTTTTGTTTCATGCAAATTTATTTTCATTGTCCAATGAAAGATATCTTTAATAAATTTTGACTAGACTAGCTGGTGCTAACCTGGATCCCACTAACCTTTCTGCGAGGAGGTACAAAGGAAGCCAGAGATTGTAGGAAAGAAAGAGTAGCTCTGAAGGGAAAGTTGATGGGCCAATGGTATTTTAAAAACTATCCTGAGGTCAACGTATTCACTGCCTTGACAGTGTGAAAGCCAAAGCAAATTCATATGAACTAGTCTGTGTCATGCCCAGAGCTGTCTGAAAACCTGTACTTCCAGACATCCTGTCCATCAGGAAATGATTTGGGGGTAGTAGAAATCCACATGTTAATGAAAATCAGGTGTATCTAAGTGTAAACCATCCCTCTTTCAGATCTACTTCTACTGGCTGTGCCGTGACACGCATGCCTTTGAGTGGTTTGCAGACTTGCTGCAGCTGCTGGAGACCCAGATGCAGGAAAGGAATAATGCTGACTTTCTCAGCTACAACATCTACCTCACCGGCTGGGATGAGTCTCAGGTGAGGAAAAGTCTTCACGTCTCCGATTCTTTCCATAGTGTTCAGGGTTTATCAGCTTACCCATGGTAATTGGTGTTTTCTGTGCATTGGTTTTTTCCAAGGACAGATAATGGTTATTGGTGGTACAGCCTGTTCCCTCTTATTCAGCATCTCCACATGATGGTAAAATTGCTAAGGCTAGATTCAAAGTTACAAGACCTGCGAAGGAAGAAAATCTTTAACTTTGACAAGCAATGTTCTCACCAAGGGATTTGTCTCAAAGTGGCTAAGATGCTTCACTGTGTTATGGGGAAAATTATATTAGCTGGCTCATTTTCTCACTGTATGTGTGTTTCTTTATGTGTTTATATATGTTTTATAATACAATCAATACATTGCTGGTTACTAAATATATGTACTGTTTGCCATATCTGTACTGAACACATCTTATCCCTTAGACAACACAATATGACACCCATTTACACAGCATGCCCATTATATTATGTGGTTTAAATAATCTAGATACAATTTAAAATGTAAGGGAGGATGTATTTGGCTACTTACAATGCCACTTCATTCTCTGTAAGAGACTTGAGCATCTTCACATTTGGGACTTGGGTATCCTTGAGGAAGGGGCAGCTGAAATCAAACCCAACAGACATCAAAGGATAGCTTGCCATGTTACAGTTATTTCTCTCAGTATTTACATAGATTGTCTTATTATATCCTCCCCACAACCCTCTGAGATTATATTTTTCAGAGTTTACAAATGAAGAAACAGACACCAAAGCCCAGAACACACTAGGTAATTTGCCTAAGAGCAAACGACAGTTACAATGCTTCTGAGTTAGCACTCTTAGCCCTCTCAGCAGTTTATGATTATACTTTGTAAATGAATCAACATATATATCTTAAAGGTACTACGTAAGGGTAAATGTTTATAGAAAAGGCATGTTATAAAAAAGCAATGTGTGGATTTCCAAATATATTTGCATTGAATAAACTTACCTTCTAAGTCTATCTTTTCATCAACTCTTTGAAGCATTCTGGTGTGTGTGTAGTGTACATATGTGTGCATGTGTGTGTGTGTGTATATATATACCCTTGAGGGTATAATGAATTTTTGAGATCTATGTAAGGTTTTCCACAGTATGCCTTTTCCATGACCACTTGCATGAGCTCTCATTTGACTATAATTTAGTCTATGATTGTTTCAGTTGTTAGTGTCTTTTTATAGGAATACTCGTATATTAGGGTGAAGAGAGAAAGTCAAATACAGAGCAGAGAGAAAAACAGAAAAGCACTAACTATACTTCAATGTCTGACTCAAGTGCGGCCTTTCGTATCTGCCCATTCCCCTTTTGTTCTCCTAAGAATGCTTTTGTCGCTTCATGAAGCTCACCACACCCTCTTCTACAAATAGGATGCTGGGCATTTATACTTCAAGATCTCCTGTTCCAGATTGAGATCACAGTTTGTTCATCTTTTTTACCCAGCATTTTTATATAACATGTTTATATAGTATTTCTCTCCTTTTTTTTCTGAATTCATGTGCTTTCTTGTAGGCCAATCACTTTGCTGTGCACCATGATGAGGAGAAAGATGTGATTACAGGCCTGAAGCAAAAGACACTCTATGGACGGCCCAACTGGGATAATGAGTTCAAGACAATCGCAAGCCAACATCCTAAGTAAGTAATCCCTCGCCAAGGTGTTCTTGAGGCTGGTGATTTGCTTAAAGCAGCAACTGCCAAGCATGGGTAGACTTGTATATTTCAAACTAGGATACCCATGTTACTATATAGGAGTTGAACTCATGCATAATATGAAGGCAAGGTACCTCTGGCTTTAAGGCACAATCTTCACATCAAACCAAAATTACCAAAAGGGTTAGGAAAAATTCCCAGAGCTTGTTAACCCAGTTATCCCAAATAGAGCCATAGCCTGGTTCTTTCTTTTAGTCTCCTAAATTTCACTAGTTTATCTACTTCTTTTAAATATTCAACATTACTTATGCTTATTAAGAATATACTGTTCTTTAATTCCGTTACAACTGCTGAGTTTAAAATCCTAAATTGAAAGATGTCCCAAGGTCGTTTTTACTTGTTTTGGCCAGCATGAAACATGGAGGGCAATTCTTATCTTGCTAGAACACACTAGAAATGCAAAAGATCATCATGAATACATCCACTAGACCACTGCCTGTTAACAGTTTAATGAGAATACAAAACCCCTGGGGATCCTTGACAGCTACAGATACTGATTTACTAGGTATCAGGAGTGGTCCTGGAATCTGCAGTGTTTACAGTCTAATTAACATGGAGGCTCTTAATCTGGAACAACACTGTGAAGCGCAAGGATCTGGGATAAAGTTTAGAGAAATGAAGCCACAGCAAGCTGTTGGCAGAGCTGGTGTACCTAAGGCATGTTCCTGTTTCCAGGATGTTAGAGAGGGACTGGGGACACAAAGTTCTGAAGCCAAAGACTCCTGAACTGCTATTTACTCTGTGGTAGAAGTTGCCCAAAGCTCGGTGTGATTGTCATTTTTCTAGAAAAGCGACTGTTGAATGATCTACCTTTCCAAAGAGTAATTTGAACTCTGCCATTTGTAACAACAACAAAAGGAGCCCTGGGACATCAACTCAATAGGAAATTTCCTCACCTCCTTTGCCTCTGTTGTAGCCTCTCATCCCAAAGCCTGAATGTGTTTTCTTTTTTCCTTCTTTCCTGAAAGTACCAGAATAGGAGTTTTCCTCTGTGGACCTGAAGCCTTGGCTGAAACCCTCAGCAAGCAGAGCATCTCTAACTCTGAATCTGGCCCTCGGGGAGTGCATTTCATTTTCAACAAGGAAAACTTCTAGTTCATCCTGGCCAAGAGGATAAACATGAGTTATGCTGCACGGTGCCCAAAGAAGACTAATTAATGATATTTTCTTCTGTCTTTAAAAAAAAATAGAAGGAAAATGTAATATTACAAATTCTCTTGAAAGGAGTGTCAAAGATTGTTTGCTAGCAATGCTACATTTATATAGAGCTTTATGGTTTTCAGAAGACTTTTGAAAACATTAATTCATTATTTCAGTAATGCCAGACAAAGATCGGGCCAGGATTCCAGGACTCACTGTAGGATTTAACAAAATGGGAACTCAAATAGTTTCAGTACTTTCCTGACAGCATATCTAGGCCATCTGGCTTGAAGTCTGGTAGTCTTTCCACAAAATCAGACTGTCTCAAAATTGATTTTTATATCCAAAAAGCAGCAGCAAACCAAGAAATAATGGCCATTTTGTTAGTTTGCATCATCTTTCTTATCATCATTGTCATAATGAAGGAAATGTTTCCGATAAGAGATACAGGAATAGCTGAACATGTTTTAACATTTGTTAGTGACAGTGGTGACATCTGAGAGCACTCTAGTAGACCAATTTCCCAGTCTAAATGGGTCAGAGATGCTTCCATGATAAAAATAGTAGAATTGACAGAAGCCACTGTCATTGTCAGCATTTGGCATGTTTCTTAGCAGACAATGGACTCTCAAGGAAAAGTTGCTGCAAGAATGCTTCTAGGTTCATGCAATGCCAGGGTAAAATTACTTAAAATTTTTCATCAGAATTATCTATGGAAATCATTCTGGTTATTCTTATAAATCAAATGAATGTAATTCCACAAGGGTAGAGAATAGGCTAAAAGTATTATCCAATAGGATAGTCTGAAGAGTCTCCCACATTTTTATTTGAAGCATGGAGGAAAGGAGAATGAAGGCAGATGATTCATCTCCTGCCATAATTCTGCTGGCCCCTCTAATCCTGTTCCCCGTGCTATGAAAGAAATGTAGAGTGGTTTACCAACTGAAAGAGTGCCCTCCAGCCAGGCATTGTGAATTCTGAAGTTAAGAAACAGGCAATTATGCATTTCACATGCACGTTTGCTTTAAATAGCATCTATCTCCTATCCCTCCCCCCCCATTTTTTTTCACTTTAAAGGTACAAATGGATGTTTATGTGTGTGGCTAATCATTTATTTTTATTATATCATCATCTGCTTCTTCCTGAAAATTTACATCCTAGAAACTAAAATTCACAGCTTACTGCTCTGGATAATAAAAGGGAAAGAGCCTAAATCACTGTTAGTGTGGTCAGAAGCAGTTGTTTTTCTTAAAACTGTTCTCATTTCTGGGAACTAAAAACAGCTTTATTTGCTCCACCTCCTGAAACCGCAGATCTTTAAAATAATCATTCGACTTTGGTAATGAGGAACAAAGATAAAGGAGCAGAGGGAAGGGAACAGAGCAGAGTGAATGAAAGAAAGAGCAAATGACAAAAGGAAAGAGAAGGGACGGCAGTCTCCCATGAGTCACCACCCCAGAATTCTTAAGCTTTTGAACTAACTTAGTGATTGAAAGAGACATGAAGGCTCATCTTTACATTACACATAACATTGAGTCTTTTACAGTTGGTTTTTACATTTTGGTCACAAATTTTGATGCTGACCGGGGACATTCAAGAAACTGATACAAAGTAAATAAAAACTTAACTGGTCCTCGAAGCACTCTGTAGTACTCCGTACTTCCTTTGTTCTCCTAGAATCCTTGGAAATAAAGGGTCAGTTCTGGCAAACAGGGCCTGAGATGTGAATGCTGCTTATCCACAATGTACCAGGAAAATCTCTAGGGAATTTTAGACCCAGCCTGTTCACATTGCACGCTAGGTATCAGGTTAGTCATTCCACAGTGTGCATAGTTTCAATTCTCCCCATCAAAATGTGAGCAAGAGGAGAAACCACAGGTCTAAGGAGTCTGGGAACATTAGTCCTTGCTGACCTATATGGTATAACAAAAACCAGTTCCATTTGTTGCTGTCAGAAGTTTTCTACAGGGTTTTCTATCTTTGATACCAACCCATCAGCAAAGACCTACCTTGTGTTATTTGGTTTATTAAGGAACAAGTGTGAAGGTATAATAGTGTTTGCCTTTGTGAAAACTTCATGCTTTATTCTCCCAAGTCCCTGGCTGCCTGCACTGCTTTTTTTTTTTTTTAAGCATTGAATATATAGTATTTAGTAACAGGTACTAATAGAATCTTGAAGCATTGCTTTTAATCTCAAAGTTTGGAAAGCTTTCCTTACTTCCCCAGCCTTTGCAATATCATGTTTATAAAATTTGAATACCTGCATGCAGTATATGTGCATCAATTTTTTGGCGGGGGGAGGGGAGCGGATGTGGGGCCCAGAAGCAACTATTAAAATTGTGCTTAACTATTAAAATTAATCTGTTGACCCTGTGTTTATGTTCTTGACATTGCTATTAAAAGGTGAATTCAGCTAGCAAAAATTTTCTATCATCTGAGGGGGTTGAGATTGCCTGTTTCTGCAAGTGACTTGCCAAACACCACAAGGTTTATGGATTAGAAGGGGGCAGCTGAGGTCTGAGTTGTGTGCTAGCATCCTGGTGACCCTCAGAGGCTGGCTGAAGGGACAAGTGAGTATTGCTGCAGGTCCTGAACAGAATTTTGAAGACAAACAAGCCCCATACACAAACTCTCTTTCTAAGCTCACAGCTGTGTATTGTCAAGTGAAACTGGATATACATGCTCATGGTTGCCTTGGCCACTGTTCTGAATGAGTCAACAATGTACAATCCTCAGGGATTAGGAAATGCCTAAGAGGCAAAGGGGTGTGTTCGTGGTATGTTGCTGTGGGAGTCAACAAGCATTACCATGGAGGGAAATAACATTAGCTAAAACAAATGGCTATTAGAGAAATGGCTACTGCTTCTCAGCTTTTTGGATAAGATCTAGTATAGAAATAGCTGACATTTGGTATATATCTCTCACCATGAAAAACATTTTCCTTACATTTCAGCTAAACCCTCACTAACACTATGATGTAACAATTATATTCCAAATTTTTAAATAAAAAAACAGTTAGAGGATTTATAATAAACAAAGGTCTTATAAGTAGTGAGTGATAATGTTAACATTAAACCCATGTCATTCTGGTAACAAAGTCCATATTTTCATACTATACTAATAAAGTACACAAGGGCTAAGTAACCAGGGATCTTTTTAAAAGATTTATTTATTTTTATTGGAAACACAGATGAGATTTCTGGAGAGAAGGAGAAACAGAGAGAAAGATCTTCCATCCACCGGTTCACTCCACAAATGGTGACAATGGCCAGAGCTGAGCCAATCTGAAGCCAGGATCTAGGAGCTTTATTCTGGGTATCCATGCAGGTGCAGGGTCCCAAGGGTCTGAGCCATCCTCCACTGCCTTCCCAGGCAATAAGCAGGAAGCTGGATGGGAAGTGGAACATGTGGGACACGAACCGGCACCCATATGGGATTCCGGCATGTGCATTGTGAGGATTTATCCATTGAGCCATTGTGTTGGGCCCATCCAAGAATATTTTTAAGCTTTTGAGCTAGGCATTACTTATATGCCAAGAATAATTAGGAAGCAGTGGTGGCAAAAGGTTAATGCCATCTATGTGTCTTGGTATTTTTTTTTCTAAAGATTATTTATTTTTATTTGAAAAGCAGACTTACAGACGAGAGAGCTAGAAAGATCTTCTAACCACTGTTTCACTTCCCAAATGGCTGCAATGGCTGAAGCTGGACCAATCCAAATTCAGGAGCCAGGAACTTCTTCTGGGTCTCCCACATGGGTATAGGGGCCCAAGGACTCTGGGCCATCCTCTACTGCTTTCCCAGGCCACAAATAGAGAGCTCGATCAAAAATGAAGCAGCCAGGACTGGAACTGGAACCCATAAGGGATGCTGGCCCCAGCATTTGTATAAAAAGTGGCTTATTTTATTCATGTTAATTTTTATATTTTAATTAAGAAAATATAACTCATCAAGAAATGGAATTATTTTGCTTGAATGAAGCTCTAGGGAAGGAGTTGGGAATATTCAGTCTACAGGCATTTAGTCTGGTTCAGCCAAGGCAACCACAGGCAGGGCTAGAAATTGCATTGATGTACAGCAGGCTAATCTTTAGGTTGATAACTTTGTATATAGCCTATGAATGATGCCACACATATTCAAATGGCTCTTGAAAGGCAAAAATGTTCCCCACTCCTGTTCTATGGTGATTCAACAATATTTAACACTTCTGTTTTATATTTATTTACTTAAAATATTTCTGTCTTTCAAGAAAAGGCCGGTTATTATCCATACTGTGTGTGTCATAAAACGATATGAGGAAGAAGCAAAATTATAACTGTACAGAATTACTCAACTGTAGATGGCATTGGGCAAAAAGGGTATTGCTTTTAGAGGCTAGGAAATCTGACCACAAGAAATTTCTAAATGTGGAAAAATGATCAATCAAATGATGTGAGATTCTTTTAAAACTGTAGTCTTTATGGTCATGCTGTGTTAGTCATGGGATGAGGTAGTCTGAGCATTTGGATGATAGCAGCCTACTAAATAATTCTTACTAATATAGAAGCAAATTTCAAGTAAGGGTGATGTGGTAAACCATAGCAAGAAATTCTAAAATGTTTTGTAGCTAAAAGGAAATACTGTGAAAGTTAGCAACATGAACAGAAGCCACTGCGAGTTTATTTTCTGAATTCTACTCTAGCAACATAGAGACATGCTTGCTGAATCTGGAGAAAGCCCAAGATGGCTATATTCTAAAACTCCATTCTTCAGAGAATACTGATCCAAAGACGTAAAACCTAAGTTATACAGAAAAATTAAGTTCAAAAGATACTCACAAATTGAAAACGATGCTAGAACATTACATTGTCACCAAGTTTACCCATTATCTTAAATCACTTGGTTGCTACACTTCACTTCCTCTTTTTAGTCATGCAATTCCAGTTAAGTAACAATAAAATCACTAACCCACCCACTCTTATGGAAATAGCTAAACATCACCATTTTTGGTCAGGTGCAGGCAAATTAGGGTATAAGAAATGAATCACCTTTATACTTCCTGAGTGAATTCAGAGCAAATCTTAAGAAATTCTTACATTGGCTGATATGAAAACAAAAATATACCATCTAAGCATCTCCTGTGGATAGCCAATGTTGTGGGTATTGACTGAAACCCACCAGGGTACACTATTGACAGAATCCCCAAACCAGACTGAGCTCCTCAAGTTCAGCAGGGCTATTTGATGATCTTGTTTTCCAGGCTCTGAATCACCCAGGGCTAAAACATCACACTCCGACATCTGCATTGCCAACTTCCTGCTGTGTTCATTACTTGCAGTTTCATTCCACTAGAGACAAATGTGTTTATGACTTTACTGAGATCAAAGACCACAGCAAATTTGACCATATCCAGTTCACAGAGCACATAAACTGCAAGACATCCACAAAGAGTATGGCTTTCTGTACTTTTTCCCCTTGTAGAAAATAATCAGCAAACTTTAGCTTCCAAGCGTATATATAAAATGCATTTTGAGAAATCTGCTTCTTTTTAAAGACATGATATATGAAGGAGTGAAAGATGGAAATGAAAGGGGAAAAAAGTGAAACGGATATAGGTGACATTAGCAGAAACTAGAGGGAGAGAAACAAGACAGGGAAGATTAAAATGGTAAGTAATGATTTCCCCCCCCCTTTTTTAAAAAAAATTATTTACTTATTTATTCATTCATTCATTTGAAAGGCAGAGAGAGAAAGAGAATCATCATCAGCTGGCTCACGCTCCAAATGGCCACAGCCACCAAGGCTGGACCAGGCTGAAGCTAACAATTTGGAAGTCCATCCTGGAATCCCACATAGGTAAGTAGAGGCACAAATAGCTCTACTACGTTTCTAGGCATATTAGTAGGGAGCTGGATCAGAAGTGAAGAAGCTAGACCTTGAAACAGCTCTCCAACATGAGATGCTGGGGTTTCAAAGATGCTACACCACAATGCCTGCCTCACCCTTGCTTTTGTAAATAAATAAATAAACAAATAAACCTTTTATTTCTGAATAGTTTTGAATTTACAAAACAAAAATTTTGAGGTAGTATAAAGAGTTCCCATATGACTCACATCCTGCTTTTTCATATTAATAACATATTAGTATGATATATTTGTCACAATTAATAAACCACATCCAGCTTCCTCTTCTACAAGTTGGCCCACATTTCCACTTCTCTCTGTACCCTCATGCTCTGCATTGTGACTTAGTATTTACTTCCATCAAGGATAGAAATTTGCTTTCTCACTCCTTACATCTGGACTACTCTTATAAATTCTGGTAGAATGCAGAAGTCACACATAAATTTGATTCTAGGCCTCAAGAAATCTGGCATGAATTCATTCTCTTTTGCTCTGCTACCTTCTCCAAGATTGCTCACTCATACAAGGCTGCTGAAGGTATGACATGCAAGCAGAGTGAGCCTTTCAGTGCTAAGACTCCACACGCAGAGAGAAAACCCAAGATGTGGATGCCTAGTGCACCCACAGCTAATGCAGATGCCTGAGTGAGTTCTGCTCACATGGACAGAGCGACACAGATGGCCTGCAGATGCATGAGAACTATCACATGGTGGCTGCTTGAAACCACTAATTTGAGGGTAGTTTTGTTAGGCAACAAAACTACTGATATAAATGGTATCAAAAATTGAGGAAGTAGATCGAAGGGTCTGGAGTGAGACCCATATGTGATTATATTCGTGTTTACACTTCATGGTAAACTTCTCTGGAGACTTCCATAGAATATGTACCAGCTTTGCTATAAGGAAAGCACTGTGTTCTCTGAGTTGTCATGACACATACAGAGTCTTGTGTGTTTCTGAAAGTATGAAAGTCTCAGTGTGCACATCAAAGGTGTTGTCATCTAGAATACAGGCAATGTATTTCAGTTCTACTCTAGTAACTACCATTTTGTTCCATTCTTTTAGGAATAAGTTATCTGGCAATCACCACTCGAAATACAAGTAAGAACTGCAGATAAGAATGGGATATAGTGTTTGAGAAATCTAAGTAACACCCAAGTCCACAAATGGTACATGAAATGATAAATACAGTCAGTCAGAAATTCCCTTTGAGTTTTGATATATTTGTCATAACCACTGTGACATAGTCATTTTGGTCTTTAAACTTACAGTTGATGACAAGTACTAAATTAGGAGAGAAAGACTACTAGAGGTAGGTACATACACACAAGTAAGAAGTGACATCTGAAAACCTATGAAGGGGCAAAGAAAGAAACAATGTAAAGTCAGAAACTCAAAAGTATGGGTTGGGTATTTAGCACAACAATGAAACTGACACTTGGGACATCTACATCTCATATCAAAATCTCTTTGTTCCAG